CAGAGAGGCAGTGGAGGCCCCATCCCTGGAAGCATTCAAGGCCAGGTTGGACGGGGCTCTGAGCAACCTGATCTGGTTAGTGGTGTTCCTGCTCACTGCAGGGGGGTTGGACTAGATGACCTCTAGGGGTCCCTTCCAACCCAAAACATTCTATGATTCTATGATTACTCAGTATGGTGAGATAGATGAAGCGATGCATGAAGTAAGCCAGGAGTAGGGTTGTCTCAAAGTCAGAAGTTCCAAAGTTTCCTGTAATTAAGAAATTATTTCCGCTTAACTCCTATTAGTTAGTTGTCACCAAATCCCAACTACACTAGGAAAAAACCCCATCAGCACTGATAATAATTGTCATTCTCACTATTCCTACTTAGTGCAGGAATTGGTTAGCTGTTAGGACTTACCTGTTAAAGACAGCTTGAGGAAACGAAGAGGTTGTTTATAAAGCTCCCTATAACTGTTTTGTCCTCTAAATGGTATTCACTAAAACCATCTTCCATCAGCTGAAAGGAGGCTGGCAAACCTGTTGCTGCCGGCTGCTGTTGGTCACTTTCTTGATGCTGTCAGTGTCAAAACATGCCTACCCAGAGGGAAGGGCGCTATGCCAGCTACTGGGAGGAAAAATTAACTCTACCCCAGCCGAAACCCGGACATCCAGACAGCTCAGCACTTCAGCAGTCACAAACTGAGGGTGCTTCAGCCTGCGGCTCCGCAGGGGCACTCACGGACTCGGGGCCTCGCAGTTAGACAGCGTCTGGTTACCTCAGCCCCCATAACTCCGGGCATCAGGGAACAGGGAACCAGGGGGAAAAAAAAAAAGTTTGCAAGAGTTTGCATTACTATTTCTACCTGAGCAGCTCTAGTCATGCTGGCTGGAGGAATCCAGTTTTTAAAAGACACCGAAGTGCAAGAAGCCAGAGCAGGTCAGGACAGGACAGGACCGTACCCTCTAGGAGAAAACGGTGGTAAAATTAAAGGGTAGGAAGTCTTGACTGAAAACCCCAAACCAGAACAGATTAGTTTCAGCTCTTGGAAGTTTGACATTTACATTGATAAGCTCCTGTCTTTGTTGGAAAGTGTTTTAAGAGAAACATTTGGCCAGATCTCAAATGATTTTCCACCTCTCCTCTCTCCCTTCCTTCCCAGCTGTTTACTGACTGCCTTACTCTTTTTCCAAATTATCTCTTTCTATGAGAAATTCCTCTAATTTCATGGGGAGTGGTGGCCTCTTTGAAGGAAGTAGTTCTGCTTCCCCAGATCTTCAGAGGCAAGGGGAAATAGTCTTAACTGACATGAAAGGACAATTCCTTTTCTGTGATCAAGAGGAAGCGTGCAAGTATCACTGGGGACCAAGACAGACATCCACCGCCGGGCATTACTCTCCAGAAATTGCTTCAGTAGATACCCTATAACAAGGGAAGCTGAGAGAGCGCCTCTGGCAAAACGGTGGAGAGAGGAGCTGCCTGCCTTGACTGCTTGGTTATTTCACCCTCCCGTGCCCCGAGGCACAGATATTCTCTCCACCTGGCTGTAACATCTCCCTTGCTTTGCTCACATTAAATATCCACTGTATACCAGCAGCCCTGCTCTCACATCTATCCAAAATGCCACCACCGAAGTCAGCTTTCATTCCCACCACTCTGGGGGGGGTCAAGTATTTCTAGAATACCTGAAATAGCCTCATGCCTCATCTCTGGTCTGGAGAAAATTCCATCTTCTTCCAGTTTTGACTGGAACCTCTCATGGTTTGAGAGACTGACCATGGGAATAAAGGGTCGTCATCTTCAAATTCTCCTAAAAGAACTTTCTCTAAACTTACCAGTACTTCTAATATCTTCCCTTAACTGGCTAAGCGACAGTTAATGTAGTGGTACCAGTCCCCAGCTACATGCACACGTGGGGTGTTACACACGATGTTCTTGCCCCTGTCTATACTCATGGACTGAGCAGCGCCAGGCTCCGTCCTAAGCACTGGAGCATGATCATCTACGCTCTGCTCCCAATAGCATTTAAATTGCAGCAATGTTGTTACCATGGCACTGTGCAGAAGTGATTTGTTGTAACCTGTCTAAAATATCTCAGATAGAGGATATTTATTTGCCGTGGAGATCTGTTTAAAATATTGCCTCATTTTTTCAGTGCAAGAGTGTCATAGTCCCGTTGGGCAATCTCCCATTTGCATCTGGGAAAGGAGAAAAACACAGTAGCTATGACAGGAGTGTTGCAAACTTCCCTTTTGATTCAGTTCACAAGGATATAATCAAAATCCTAATGACAAGAAAATTACTTCTCACAACTTTCCCATTTGCATAAGATGATTAAATCCTTACAGGTAAGCATGCGGTCTTTTATGACCCCTACTGTATGCACTTCACTTGCGATATGAAGTTGCAATATCACAAAGGTTAAAATATGTAAGAAAATATATTTACAGAAGAAATGTTGGTAGTAGAATGGACTTAATATTCATTACAGAAGTCAGGTAATACATAATTTGAATGCACTTTGATGCCAGTGCTCTCCACATCTCCAAGTTCATACAAATCCATTCGGCTCAAGATGTGCCTATGCACAACCCATTCACTATTACCATTTCAGTGCTCATTCTAAAAATCTGTACTATACCTGCACAAAGTTGTACTGTACGTCCTGATATTAATAGAAAAACTGGAGTGTAGAGACAGGCACCCCACAAGAAATAGCCAGATGTTAAAACAAGAGATAATAAGCAGGAGAGAGAGAGCAGCTCTGGCAGAAACCGCTGTAGGGAAGGGAAGGGTGGTTCCAGGAATTGGGAGTATAAATTTTGATTAGGGCTGGGCTGGTATTTCCCACTTCAACTGCCTAGTTTTCTCTTTAATGAGGAAATGGGGTTTTCACTTTTGCCCCACTCAACGAAGAATTAAATGGGAACAAGGACTTGCCTTCATAGGTAAGCTGACCCAAATGTCACTTGTAAAGCATGACCACACTGGAAATGACGGTGTTTTAAACTCATACCTGATCTTGCCGTAAAACTATTGTACTGAAACACTAATTGAATATAACTGTCAAAGGAAATGCAGCACTTATCTCTGCAATTATTGCTTTCAAACAGTAAGAGAAAAATGACTCCTTTTTGAACACGCTCAGGGTCGATCTTCACTCCCTGCACACGCCCCGCAGCCTAAAACACTAAGCCAACACAGAACAGAAGAGGAGATCCTGAAAAACACGGTCAGCAACAGATAAATTCCTCAGTTTATACTAGTATGGATGATTTACAGTCATCGCAGTACTCACTCGCTTGTACAGAAATCAGCTCGCTTTACCTCTGCTGATGTGTGAGTGTGCAAAGCAGTCTGTGCCACAGGATGCTCACAAGCGTTCCGTACGGAAATGCCACTTCCAGTACAGATGCAGGATAGCATGTGACATTATCCATAGAAATTTGTCACTAGGCCCCATGTGGATCGAGGATCTGGGCCAAATTAAAAAAAAAAAAGGAGGAAGGAAGTGATACTAAAATGCAGTTAACACAAGCGGGGTCATCAGAGAGAGGAATGGGGCAGAGAGAGAATGCCTAAAATATAGGTGGGGGAACGGGTGTGGAAATTAGCAATACCCAGTTTTACAGACAGAATGACTTAGGAACCACATTGCAAGGCTTACAGTTATTCATCTACAGAGGCTTTAAAATGCGGGAATTCTTTTTCCTCCAGTTGTGCAAACAACAAGCTCTGCTAAATCTGATTATTTTCTGCAGGCTGTACTATAAATAGTTCGCTTTGGTGATATAATAGGACTTCTTCATGCTCCTCACAAAGAGCCAGTTGTTGAGTAAAATGGGCTTTGAAACACAGAGATAACGATCAAGAGCTACAGCTTATTAATAGATTTATGTGCTTTCATTCAGCTTAAAAACCCCATACTTCCCAAGATCAGACAAAATATATTAGCTATGGAAACAAGCCAAAAAAAGTATTTAATCTTTATGAAAGAGATTAAAAAAAATAAAACCAGTGAGTGATTCGGTTGAAGGATGGGACAAAGGGGGGAAAGTGACTCCAGTCAATTAACACTGCGTGCCTCTTCCTTACGCCCCACAACCAGCCACAGCATATCGGCGGGCTGGAGAGGTCCTCTCAAGTTCATTAATCCATGCCTCCTCCTCAAGGCAGGCTCTGCTGGACTTCTGGGGTGCCTGCAGATGTTTAATTGGACATGGCACGTCTTTCGGTGGACATGGCACGTCTTTCGGTGGACATGGCACGTCTTTCGGTGGACATGGCACAACCTCCCCAGGCAAGCTGTGGTACTGCTTCACTGTCCTTCTGCATCTGAAAGTTGGTCCATCCTTTCTAGAATTCCAGTCTAGTACTCATTTTCCCCATCTGGAAACGTGGAGAACACAAAGATAAAAGGCTGCTGCAAAGCAAGACAGAGTAATGTGAAAACTGTTACACACTCCCTCACAACTCTCCCTGAAGCTGGTAATCTCAAATCATACCCACTTCAAGCTCCATAAATAAATGAACCCCATGAGTATGAAAATGTGTATATACATTTTACACACACATGCTATTTATGCAGGGGAATATTTTAAATCATATTTCACTCTTTTGTTCAGATATTAAAAACCAGCAGTGTGGTACAGTAAATTCTTTCATTGTTTTGTCTAAACCGATGGACGCTCTCCGTTTCAGACAATTATACCAGCCACAGGAACACAGCATGCTTCTTGGCTTGGCAATAGCATTTTGGAAAGAACATGACACAAATAGTTTTGGTTCAGTGTTTGTTCAATGACTAATAGCCTAGCTGAAGTAAACTGCATTACTTGTGGAGTAAGGAAGTACTGAAGCATAGGTGACCCATCAGATCCAGGTCTTTTCTTTCTCTCGCTAGCATTTCACTCACATTTAACCTCTATTTGTACATTTATAGGCAGTTTTTAAACTGAGTCTCACCACTAAATTCTCATACATATGAAACAGTCAGGGTTTCCAGGAGGCTACAGCATCTGATCACTCTCACGTTAGAGTACAAACCTTAAATGTCAAAAAGGATCCCAAGCAGCTGCTCAGCTTCTAGGAATGGCAACACAGGATCAACACAGGTTCCTGCAGTATGGAAAGTGAACTACTGGTGACTGAAAAAAGGTTAATGTAATCGGGCTGATACCTAAGAAACGCCTGCTTGGGTTGCTTTATATGGTTAATCGGTTGCAATGGTGTTGCATTAATATGTCAGCTTCTACCAAAACTCTCAAATCTTCCCCCAGACAGCTGTTCAAGGACACCGACCTGCTTTATCAATCTCAAGAATCTAACCAGCTGCTCATTCATCGGAGAAAGTAGCGTGAGATTAAGTATTAGTTCAATTAATTTATGAATTTTAAAATTATATACTATCTTTCTGTTTTAGAGACATGCTTGGTATCCATCTGCCTGTATTAGAATGATGTGTGCTTCCTTCAGGAATACAGCCACAGCAGGAAAACACCTTTGGCACTGCAGACCTGTTTCTGGTTAATTCTCTCTGGTCCTTCAAAATCTGCATCAGCTGCTGGTTTCCGGTAGAGCACAAATTCAGTTATAGCGAAGATGGAGACTGCACAGAGCTTTGCCTCTTCTTCACCTTAGACAACTGCCCATGATCTCAAGCAAGCCCTCAGCAATCCAGCGCACAAAGGAAGGAGTGGTTGAATGAAGAGCCGTCCACAAGGTAGGCGTCCCTGGGCAAAGGCAAGCAGAGCTGTTTACAACACAGGCCAGTCATCCTCCTCGAAGGGGCACATCACAGCCGGCCAAGGTATGTACGCCGTTCACGAATATTCAGATTCTTGAGCCAGCTCTAATATTCTCATTCACAAATGCTGTCTGTGACCTCCAGTTTTCTAGGACTCTTCTCTGTAATGGCTAGCATCTACTAGTCACACTTCTATCTCTAATTAGCCTTATTCTAGCAAGATTACATAGGAGTTTATATACATTGCATGTATAAATACAGTGCATTCACAGGCAAAGCCTGCAGTACTTTCGAAACCCCAAACAGTAGGGACTGTTGTTGAGTATCTTCCAAACAACATAAGCTACCAAAAGCACATCAAACCCATCTTCTAGTTTCCACATTTGCTTCCTATATTATTTAAATCACAATCACTGTCCTATCTTTCCAGGCACCTGACTGGTTATGCCTAGTATATATTTAAATACTGTTTAAAGTGCAACCCAAATATCTTTTACGTAAAATAAACAGTATGCTAAGGACAGATTGCATGTGCTTTCTCTCTAACAATACAAAGTATATTCCTTTAATCATACAGGTCCAACCTAAATACATGATCAGTATTATCATAATGAGGTACTCCATAAGTGCATGAAAAATAAAACATACACTGACCTAAACCAGTGTCAGTCAGGAGAATCTCAAACCAGGATACACTTTTTTTTTTAAAGCTGAAAATGAAGCATTTTGAACCCAGTTCACTACTATCCCACATATGAACCAGATTTTTTTTTTACTGCTCTTGACAGCCAGCAAAATCATTGCTGAAATAAGGATGCCTTAAACCATAAATGCACCTCTAGCTCTTGATCAAGCATAATGGGATTTAGGCCTACCATGAAAGGAGCAAACTCCTCCGAATTCCTGTTCTTACAGTGCCAGTTCTGACCACCTAATCCCCAGTTCTCCCTGTATCAACCAGAATGGTGGCACGTTTCCACCATTAATCTTTCCATGTTCAGTACAGCCATCTATATGAAGCGAACACACCCGAATTGCAGGCAGATAATTTCTAAGAGATAACACAATGCTCCAGGGGAAAGATGTTGCACTAGTACAAATTTTAACTTGTCATTGCACATGAATTTCAAAGGCTTGAACGTTCCCAAAAGACAAGACTCCAAGAAGAGGGACATACCCTGGAGCAACCACAACTGCATGACATTTTCTCAGTGGAGAAAGAGAAGTAATAATGGCACTTCTTGATACACAGCATGGGTGAGGCGGACATTGGAACACTGGACAGTTCTACGTTAAACGGAAAGGATGAGAAGCTCATGGACAATGCAGAAATTTGACAGCCAGAGATAAAAAATAGGTATTGAGGGACTCACCCTTTAGTTGAATGCAAGGACAGAGAGGTGATGGCTTCAATTATGTTTTAAAGATGAAAATACCAGGTGCAAAAAGCATTTTTAAATTAAAGGAAACAGTATAATTAAAAACAGAAACACGGAATTAAAGTAGATAAAATTAAATCAGGGAGAAGAAGATAAATTTAACCATGTGGCTGATTATTCTACCATCTTTAAAAAAAAAAAAAAAAAAGCATCAGGCTATGAGAAACCAAGGTTTTTACTGAAATAACTGCAACAATCCTATGGTAAATACTGTCCAGGAGATCTGTCCAGATTAATAACCTCTCTGGTTTATAAAGCAAAACACTTAAGAACCTCCATGTCTCTTAAACAGATTTACAGTGATGGGGAGATTCCCTGACTATTGTTGGATCCAAAGTTCACAGTTTCTTGGATTTAGCAAAAAGACAATTTATAAAGCCTTTTAAAAGGCAATAAACCGAACTCCTTCAGGATCAAAGGTAAAAATTAATTTCTTTGCTTAAGTAATGAACTACTTACATAAATGGTGGGTTTGCAAGATAAAAATCAAGAGGAGATGATGTATCCTGGTTAGCAACAAGCATTCTGTTGGGAACCAAGACGACTATATAGAGAAGAATCAATAATTTCCTTAATGTAGGTTCTAGTTCCTTAAGTTATTTAACTAAACTAACTTTTTAAAGAATAGTAGGGTACTGGTGTGGCCTCAAGGTGCTTGTTATGTGAATGCATACCACTTGATCTGTGTTGAACCATGGCTAGTTTACCAAAACATATTAAACCTGGTCCTAAGGATTCTGAGAAAAGGCAATATTCACAATATTTAACTTAGTAAGAATATCCTTCCAAGATTCCCCTTTGTACATTGGTGTGGCAAGAGGTTTCCTTGCAGAGTGACTTAGAGGCACCTAAATCAGGCATTCTCAATGCCCCACCGATGACCATCTGTACCTCCTCCTGGCTACCAAAGCAACCCAAGAATACAAAGCCGAAGTCAAACCTTTGAAAAAAAAAAGTTGTGTGTAATCCTTCAAGAATCATAGAAGAAAAATTTGTTGTGCCCTTGTAAAGGTAAGTTTCTAGACAAAATACCTTACCCTTGATCTTCTAAGCAGTCACAAATACAAGATGTCAGAAAGCAAAAAACCCACAGTTCTTACGTTAAATAAAAGACAGGCAGCCTCATTGTATGCAAAAATTCTTATATAGACAACATCCAGGGTTACACAATAACCGCTTGCTGGTGATTTCTGCACAAATATGTTCTCGCTGGAGTTTATAACACACCACACTTGAAGTGTCCTTCGGTCAGTATTTCTACTTTCATAAACTTCTCAATAATTAACACGGATTTAGCAAGTTCTGGTTTTTGTGTTCATCAATGAACATACATTGGTACGGTGTCCCAATTTGAAAAAGTCCTTTTTTCAAATGAAAAAAGGGATAAAAGAAGTTTCTTTAAAAAATAACATAAATCAATGAAACAGTCGTCCTCTTCCACGTCTGCTCGTGAGATGACTAGCAGGACGCCTAAGAGCTTTTCTCTCTTGACGATGTTGTTTCTCAGCTTCGTGTTGCTTCTTTTGCTGCTCTGACTGGAATATTAAAACAAAAATAGACTCAGGTTCTTGTAAACTTACATATAATCTCATTGTTCAAGTACCTATATATCAAGTAAGAAATCCAACAGGGAAATCTGGAAATTTTACTGTAAATAGTCTCATTCTATCTTGCTTTATACCATACCTGTTGATTCCGGGTATCCCCAGGCATTGTCATTCCAAGTAATTCAGAGCAAACATTTACGCCAAAGACATTGAAAAACAGTGAATAAAATAATGTATTTCAGTCTATTTTTAGACATTGGTTTTCAGCTGAAATTACACTGCAGAATTATGTCTTAATGCCCTTAAGAAGGTAGAGCACAATTTGAGGCTATTTAGTATCTACTATGGTTAACTAGTATTACCACATTTAGTATTTGTACAAATGCATTTTAAAAAGACAGAACAATTAGTTAAATTTGCTGAAACATACAGGTTTTTTAAGAAGTGGTCTTAGAGGTTCTTTAAGGTGTTTGATATGCTGTATGCAATTCTAGAAAGACTTTCCACTGAAGATAATTTAAAATCTCTGCTCCTGTGGCACATGCTCTATTGTTTCCCCCTCTTCATCAAAAACATGCTGAAAAGGTTTCATTTAAGGCTTGTCTTCAAACTATGCATAAGCTGGAACTAGAAGACTTGAACAACCCAAGCTCAGGCAACAGCCCATGCTATAAAATACTCCAGCGATTTCAACAGCAACACAGGATAAGTGCATTAACAGTGCGACAGAATGACTGTGCATGCAGCCATATCCCCATTGCATCTAATCCTGTAATCAGCAGCATTCATACATCAACCATCTCTTCCTGAATCTCCCATTAAAGTACCATTTAAACTTGAGCTAGAGATCTGCATGCATAGACAGCATTTTGGCTGAGGTGAGATATGAACCAATTTACCAAATGCAGCAATAAGCCCATAGCAGTATCATGGTAATAAAAGCTAGCAGTCTTCAGACATTGTTGAAATTTATTGACTCCCGTTTCCACTGCAAGCGGGGAAACAAGAAACCCACTATGTGAAAGTGTAAGGAGTTTCTCTCTGTCTCCTGTCTTTGTCTGAAACAGTTTTGAGAAATCTTACTTAATATAATGTTGACTGCTACCACTAGTATACTGAAATTGAATGGTCTTGATTTGCATTTGAAGCTTTGTTGGTCTTCTTTTTTTTAAAAAAAGTCCTCTAAACCTTCCTAGTAGTGTAAGTTCTTAGGTATTTTAGAAACCCTGCTATTTTGTTATATCTATTTGCTACGATAAAGCATGCTGAAATTGAAGAACAGGATGCCACACTGTAGGAACCATAATTAAAATCCCCTGAAAACTAAACTGTGAAATATCAGTGACAAACAAGTTCATTGCTGGATCTGTCAGTGGTTGCTGGGCATTTGGGAGGCTGCTAACACACCACAACTCTAGCAGCCAATTTCAGTCTCCATTCCACTAACTTCTAAGGTTGAGCGATACCAATCCCATGGAAGCACAATTCTCTCCCCCAGTAAATGACAGAATGGCAGGGGTTGGAAGGGACCTTGGGATATCATCCAGTCCAACCCCCCTGCTAAAGCAGGGTCACCTAGAGCAGGTTGCACAGGACATCGTCCAGGTGGGTTCTGAATATCTCCAAAGAAGGAGACTCCACAACCCCCCTGGGCAGCCTGGTCCAAGTGCTCTGTCACCCTCAAGGTAAAGAAGTTCTTCCTCATATTCAGCTGAAACCTCTTATGCTTCAGTTTGTGCCCATTGCCCCTTGTCCTGTCAATGGGCACCACTGAGAAGAGTCTGGCTCCGTCCTCGTGACATCCACCCTTAAGGTATTTGTATTTATGAGATCCCCTCTCAGTCTTCTCTTCTTCAGGCTGAACAAGCCCAGCTTCCTCAGCCTTTCCTCGCAGGGGAGATGCTCCAGTCCCCTCATCATCTTTGTTGCCTTCCTCTGGACTCTCCCTAGGAGTTCCTCATCCTTCTTGAACTGGGGAGCCCAGAACTGGATGCAGTACTCCAGATGCAGTCTCACGAGGGCAGAGTAGAGGGGGAGGATAACCTCCCTCGACCTCCTGGCCACAATCCTCTTAATGTACCCCAGGATGCCATTGGCCTTCTTGGCAACAAGGGCACACTGCTGGCTCATAGTGAGCTTGTCGACCACCAGGACTTCCAGATCCCTCTTGGCAGAGCTGCTTTCCAGCAGGTCAGCCCCCAGTCTGTACTGGGCCAAGTATGGTGTGTTACAAGAAATCTTTCTACCTATTCCTAAATACATCTGCACTTTAAGGCAAGGGCGTCAGAAAGCAGAAGTTGATGATCAGAGTAACACTAAAATCCCTTTTTTGGCTTTCCAACTTCATCTCTTCATCCTCTGAAAAGGAGTGTCAAGACACAGCACACCACATAGCGTGACTTCTTCCTGGCTCTCCCTGCTCCATTCCCTGGGACATCAGAATATATACACAGGGTCTGTTTATTTAAAAGAAGACTTTTAAGTCTTACTTTGCTATTCTGTTGATAGGAGAAAAGATCTCCGCTGCAGATGTATTACTTTTCTTTTAATTAGACTTTTAAAAATCTTTTTAATGCAAATGCGCACAATGTACCTATTTCAATAAAGCAATACCAGTTAATAGAAAAAATCCTACGTTAGCAGGAACATAATTTAAAAAAACTCAAAGCTATAGCATAGCTGATGTAAAAATGGCATTCTGAACCACTGCCCTATCTGTCTTCTTCCACCTTACCCTCAAATCTTCACAAGACTGTTAGCAAAAGGGGATAGTTCATTGTTCACCACCAGCTGCAAGAAACCTTGTGCTTTGCGCTAAGTGAAAGCTACTATAAAAAAGACTGTGCTTTCGAAGTCCTGCAAAGCCCATTTAATTAGCTGCAAGACACTACCGTATCAGTTACAGCAGCTGGTAAAACCCCCAGAACGGTTATCCTATGCAGCACTGCAGAGGAATCTGTGACTTATTCCACAATCAACATATTTTAAATTCCAGCAATACAGGAATTAAAAACAGATGAAAAAGGACATCTGCAAACAGACAATAATCAGGCAAAACAAGAAAGGTAGAAATAGACCAATACATTTGTTTTTTTAAAAAATTTTTCAGGCATACCCAATGTGACAATCAAGTAACTACTTAGCCATTCTTGTGACAGCAGTTTTACCAGTGAGAATAATATTTGACCACTGGTAAGGAGAAATGTATTACAGCAAAGTGGCTTACTTGAAGAAAACCAGTTTTAACTGAAGTACATTTTGTCAGCTCAAGTATCAGTTAATACAGGTCTTCAGCTTTTATGTGTCCTTTCCTCAGTTCTAAAGCAATTTTCTAGCAAAAAATCTCTTAAGTGTTCTACAGCAGTAGCAGATGCACACATGCTTTTAACTCTGCCCATGGTATAAAGTAATCACCTGTCTGCAATCTACAAAATTCCTTAGGATGGGAAATAAAGACCCTTCGGGAAAGGTAGATAGGCAGCAGTTCACTACACACTTCAAATATTATTTGGCAAGTAGAACAGGACCAGAGCTCATTCTTGTGATCTGTGTTACACAAGTTCAATGACAAAAGTGGTTAGGAGCTCTGGTTTTTTTCATGTCGAGTCCTAGGAACATTATCAACCAAGAGAAAGCCTGTCACCTACAGCATCCTGATCGCATCTGGACCTGCAGACCAAGATTTGATCAGTCCTGGCACAGAAAGTCAGGTAAGGTCACAAGCTTCTCATTCTGTGTCTGCAAATAAACTATTAAAAGATGGAAGCCAGCATTTTCCACCGGAACACAAGATTTTATGAGTGCTGCCTGAATTATAAGGGTATAAACACACAGAGTACTACCGGAGGCTTTCATTCTCTTGGCAAGAAGCAGAAGAGTTGGCAGCTTATAAAGAAATGAAGAGGGACATTTGTTTGACGGTTTTAAAGTTCCTGTTCTTTCATGCAAAAACTAAAGTTACTTGTGTATTATCTTAAAAAATTATATATATAGCTCACCTTCTTTAATTTGAATGTTGCCTGTTTGCTGCCTACTGTGGTATCAGACACATCGAGCGTGCCAAGTTTTTCTTCAAGCTTTAAACGATCTCCAAGAGTTTTCCTGCAGAGAATAATTAACATTAGTCCCTGTTCTTGCCATCTTTTTACTATAATAAAGGCTGATAATGCAGTCAAAACTAATCTCAATTTCTCTGAAACCTTGAAATGCCATAACTCTGAAAAATAAACATTCAGTAAACAGAGAAGAAACACAAGTTCAAATCATTCCCTCCAGATATTGCTTTCAGTAGAAACATTTTTAAAGTTTACATAAAGTTCACTGTTTTTTCTGCTAAAAAGCAACAGGACTCTAGTTGAGAAAGAAACCACACCCTTCTATTGCTATAGTTTTCTATGAAATGTTAGAAAAAGTCAGGAATATTCAGCTGCAGTAATAGATACATACACAAATAAAAAAAATTAAGGCTAGATATATCCAGTTTTCTTGAAATCTTATAGTTTCTGAATTGGAAACACTTTTGAGGGAAGGCAATAATCTTGACTATACGTCAGAATGAATTCATCACTGAATGAAATCACTTCACTGATAGAGACAAACTACTTAGTCCAAATACAAATGACTGTTTGGACGCTGCGCCCCTAACAGTCTAACGCAAATAGTTTTCTAAATAAAAGAACAATGCAAACAAGTGAACGTGATAAATAACCGGAGAGGAGCTCCACATGAGCACACGCCTTCGAGAGCATGGTGCTCGTCCATTAGTGTCTGTACACAAGCTGGTATAGAGCCTCTCTCTTGGACACCAAACTCTAGCATTTCTGCGGAGGAGGAAGCTGTTGTGGCCGACCCACACTGCTTTCAGCTCCCCCGCCCCAAACCAAGAGACATGCATGGAAGTGCCCCAGTTGCTCCAGGTTGTGATCTGAGATTTAATATCACCCTTGCCGACTTCAGTAAGTTGGGCTGTAAACTGGAGCAGCTGAGGAGTGGAAATACACCTTGTTCCCACATAGCCTCCAGCACAGGGTGAAGCAGGCAGGCAGGGACGGTGCTGGCTTCAGCCAGCCGCCCTACGGGCACCCCTGAGTCCTAACACAGCTCGTCCTTCTTCTAGAATGTGAGTAGTGCCACCTGAGAACACGACATGGCTTCTACGATCGGACAAACTCGCTCTGCAGTGCACTTAGAAAACATTCACCTAACTATAAATGAAATTAGTTTCTGCAATTTGAGATATTGCTGCTAGTGTCCTGATAGATCTCTCTGAAGAGGTCTAAGAGACATTTTTTGCACAAGTGTTAAAGTGGAAAATAAGTCACCATGAAAATACAGGCGATTAGCAGTCACCAAAGTCAATGGCATTTCTATGGATGAAGGGCTCATGGATTGTGGCCTACGCATGAAGTCTCTGAAGTTCGCTGAATTTTGGTTAATGAGCCATTTTATGTAACAAAGACTTTTCAGATTAACAATGAAAAATTACTGTCAAGAATTACTTTATTTCTCATGACTAGGTACTTTGATTGTATTTTTTTCTGCAGTATATTTTTCATTGAGTACATGTAAAAACTTGTTCCATCTGTGCGAATCGGGAAGACAAGCTAAGCCTTAGAGCTAACTATGGCAGAAGATCAGTCACCGACATTGTGGTGGGATTTCTACATTCAAGTGAAGTCCCATTTTTCTCTCCTTTGAAAGTGAACTGGAGAAATATGGCTACTACCCAGCAATTATTTAGCATGACTGCCTAGATACTGCTTCTGTCAGGAGAAAAATTAAAGTGAGGAGATACTAGCAACACGCTGTGGGGTTGCAATTTTACTGAATAACTGCAGGTATGGCTAGATTCATCTGAAAAGGTGCAGACCTCAAATGACAGTGAATTGCACACACTGATACACAAACACAACAGCTGGGTTGTTTGGTTTGTTTTTTTTTTTAAATCACCCTCAACAACTTGATTCAAGGGATACACTAACGGTGTTATTAAAAGCAACTTGCCCTGCCCTACTGTAAAAAACAAACAAAAAAATGGCCCAGGCACTTCTTTTTTCTTCATTATAAAGAGAACGTTTTTTCAGGACTTTTCCTGCTGTTTTACTTTAGCAATACCTAGGAATGTCAATTATGCTTTTGTTGGCTTTCTTGGCCACCCCTGAAGACATATACTTTGACTGTCATACTTTATAAAAAGTATGACTACAGTAGTTTTTAATTTTGACATGCTCTAACTTCAATAACAAAGCTTTAAAAGGGACATCAAGAAAATCAAGACAGCTCTTAGCACACTGACAAAACCCCTTTCCTTTTATGGATTCCTTTTAAGTTACCATGTAAGGAACTTATGCAGTAAGTAAAAAAAGCAAAGTTTTGCAGGTTTTCACGTGTAACTGTAAGTGTGAAAAAGGGGAAAATGAAATGTAGATGGATTTGAGACAAAGCGATTTTTTACAACCATGAGTAAACTTTGCAGCTTTCCTGCACAAAGAAATGTGTAGACTGTTGGTCTATGAAGAAATTTATAGTACGCACCACAGCTTTAGAAGCTGGGCTTGGAGCCGTGCTGAGTCAGGAACATGTCAAAAGAAACACCCAGTTTTATATAAGTCATAAACTGTTTCCTCAGGTAGAACATTATACGATTAGAGAAAAAAAGAACACCTAGCCATTAAGTGCATAGTGAAGGTATTAAGGTACTTAATTATATTGGTCACAGACCATCATTCCATAACTTGGATAAATCAAATCAAAGACAAGCATGCCAGCCTCACCAGATTGTACATGCCACTACAGTCTTTCCAATTTTCAGTACATTACTTGAATTAATTATTTTTATGCTGACTACTTATCACTGAATAAGGCCAGCAGAGAACAGATTTAGATATTTTCTTCATAAAATTCTAATATGTAAGAATGCTTATTAACCAAACAAGTTAGCTTCACAACACAGACTAAGCCATTATGATTACAGAATTGTATCAGCTATAAGAAGCAGATACCAGCTGTTAGTTTTTAAATTTCTTCTAACAATTTGAGGTATATCGAACTCCATACGAAGAACAATGCTTGGATGAGCACAAATGGGATCAGTGCGTATGGAGCTTATTGCTTAGAGAAAAATAAAAATAAAAAATTCATGGAAAGACAATTTAATGACAGTAACTCAGAAAAACATGAAGGATGTAGTGCTGTCATATCCATTTTTTTGGTCATCCTATTCTATCCTTAGTTTTTTCTCTTTTTTTTTTTTTAAAAAAACATTTTACATTACATCCCATCTGTGCACCTACAACAACAGAGGGTATCTATCCTAAGCCACCCTAATTATGCATCACACCTTGCAAAATATTCTGCAGAGAATTAGCAGCAAATCTTAAGACAGCTTTTCTTTTCCCTAAAAGCAGTCTTTTAGAACAGTCTTTCCATGGTTTATGTCATTGCTGACACTCCTCCATCCACTGGACAGGTCTGTGGTGTTTGCTTTCTTTTTTCCCAAGCTGAAGCAATGATTTTTCTCCCTCTGTACACCAGATGAAAGAATTTACTTCGTCCTGTGTCACGCTGTACTGATGTTTTTCTAAATGTTTCTCTTCCTTACACCTGTCTTGGCTTATTTACTTAACTTTCAGTATCCTTGTTCACATTTAAGCCTTCCATATTTTGAACAAAACGAAATGTTAATACTTCAGATTGAGTGTCCTTGAGAATTTCCTTTAGAGGTCAGCAGCTGAATTTGTGTAAAAGAACAGTATGTGAGTAGGCTGCAGTCATGCTGCCTTTTAGGGAAGTATTTCAATGGCAATGAGAATACAGTGACATTTGGCCACTGTCTTGGGCTCCTTTCAAGTTACTTGCTAACATGACTACAAATCCAAGTACAATGTAAAAAATAGCCTTAACCTACAATACTCTGTCAGTGTCCAGTGTGGATTTTCTCCTGACAAAGAAGAGAAACTGACAAATGTAAAAAGTTGCTTCATCTTCTGGGAGAAAGAAAGAAAAATAATCAGAAGAAAGTTGATGGAGAAATCTAAGAAAGCTGGAGTCCAAAATGAGCGGGTATATTGATATAAAGAACAAAAAAAATCCCTGTATGAAAATACTTGCTGATAAAAAACAGCTAAGGAAAACATGGGAATCGGTTCTGCAGAACTGCTATAAATCCCAATTTATAAAAACCGCTACTTCTATTTAAAAGGTATTACAGGTACAACATGGAAATCATAGACTTCTAGACTACTGTATAAACACTGTCTCAGTAACACTTTAAAACCATTTTACGTGATAATTCCAGTTAAAAACTTGACATTTAAGGGACCGGCTGAATTTTTAATCAAATGTTTCTTTACATCTCTCCAGAAAATTTCCGTCATGAAGCAACTAGGCTGTAGAGTCAGTCATTAGTGACATAAAGAAACAGCCCCATTATATATATTATTCACTTCCTTTTCTTTGACTGTATCATTTCATTCTAAGTAAAAACATAATGGCAATTACGAGATCCATCTAGCCCAGCAACTTGTTTCCAACATTAGTCAAAATTCTGCTCTGCATCCAGTGTGCTGTAAGAACTTTGAAGCTATTGACTTTCAAGATTTTAATACTAGTGTCTGCGCTCCAAATAATAAAAGGCTATTAAATCTCATCTTCTGCAGGGCTCAACTCACCTCTGAAAAAAAAAAAAACCAACAGTGAGCTTTGCAGGCATTAAGCACCTCAAAGCCAAATCTGATGTGGTCTTTATACAGTACCCAATTACTTCAATTGATCATCAATTTAAGGAAATCCAAATTAAAAAAAAAAAAAATTAAAAATTGCTTTTTTTTGTATTGCAAAAAGAAAAACAGAAATAGTGAGACCTGAACATATAAGCAGTTTTTTGAGTGTTTCTGGATGCAATAAAAATACCCAGACAAAACAATTTTTCTTTTACCACCTTGATCCTACCCTCAAAATAGTGACCAGTCATGCAACATTCTACATCCTTTTAGAGGGTCAGATGAAGAACATCCAGACAATCAACCTCACACTGGCACTGGTTGAGAAACATAACCAGTCTCACAGACATCAGCGTTGTTATTTGTGAGAGCAGCAGTTCACCAACACCGAGTAATGGATCCCCAACTCCAGCTCAGAATATTAATTTCTTACTCATCTCATTTGCATTGTGTCTCTGCCATGCTTTAAATATTATATTTGTTTAACTACAAAACAAAGCTTTCAACAACTATGTCACTTTAAGTTATATCCCTGAATAGCCAAATCTGGCTTTACTAGTAAGTGCTTCCAAGCCAAAATGCCACTGGCCTGCAGTGTACAGAAATACTTGAGAATTGTCCACCCCCAGCTATTAAAATAGGAACATTAATCTTACTTCATTAATTTTTGTTTTTTGGCAGAGTCTTTGAAGCTTCTGAATTCCTCTCCTTCTTTAATCTCAAAAAACTGAGGTTTCAGTAATGTTTGCTGATCCTCCTTGAACCTTTCCTGCCGCTTTACTTTTTCCTCTTGGCGCAGAAGCTTGCGCTGTTTCCTGACCTCTTCAACCCAGCCTTTTTCATCATCTGAACTCTCAGAACTTTCTGCATCACTTGCTTTTCCTTCTGGTTCTTCCTCCTCTTCCTGCAGACAAAAATAGTACAAAATAAGAAATCATCAACTAATTTGCTTTTCAAACCATTCCTGCAATTAGAGGACGTGACAGCTTTTACACAGATACAGTTGAAGAGAACTAAAATTTGAACAAAAGCCATAACAGCAAATGAACAGAAGATGTTATAAAAATGTTTCCACCCACATATCTTATGCTTTTAAAACCTATATTCATGTAGACACAATATTGTTCACATCTAAAAACTAGGATAAGATTACAAATTACACTTAATTACTGTAGCTGATAAGACATTCTTGCATTGCCTCCATCTTTCCTTCTTTCTAGGGTGAAAAATCTGAATGCTTGAAACAGAGAAAAAAAACCTATGGATTTTTCCTAATTCAAATGGAAAATGCTTTACCTGTTCTCGTGCTTCCAGTTCCTCTAAGATCTTTAGTTTCCTCTTTCTTTTCTCACTTATTTTAGAAACAAGTGGGTTAAGTAGCCTAAATTCTTCACTCTGCTCATCCACCTGGAAATCTGGATTCTCAAACATGACCTTAAAACGATCATCTTTGAGAAGGCTAGGCAGATTCTGGAAAAGAAGCAAAGCGTGAGTGAGTTATAAAATTCTGAAGCAGACATTGGTAAAGTAACACCTTTTTAATTAAACAAAACTCAAAACCAGCATGGGAAATGCCGGTTGCTTTATCCTTTCATATCATAAAAAAAAATAATCAAGATTTATGCTTATTATATTTTGTTACTTTCACAAAGATCAAATAAATATCATTCTAAGCTACCTGTAAGCAAGACAGGGTTTTTTATGCACTTTATAGACACCTTAAATACACAATTACTAATATTTTTGAATGAACGTTTCTCATACATTTAGCCAGCTTGTCTGGAGACGTGTTGCTATCTACTGACTAATCAGCAGTACCTCCAAGGCAAATACCCTGCCTGACGGGGATGATTCTACAACATGTACAACAAATTATCAGGGTAAACATGTCTTTATGCAATGCTACTACTGTTTTACTGTAAATACATAAGTGTTTCTATACATCTTGTAACACTTTTTCTTCACTGCCTTTGCAAATGGAACGTAAAAGGCAGTTTCATTCACGACAAAGGAAAGTGAATTCAGTGTAAATTATGCTACTGTTGAATTAGGAACAGTTCAAGCTATAATTTCAGCTTATGTGAATACCTGTTGTCTTAATTTAAAAATCATTGAATACCTAGCTTTTTATTATACAAAGCTGATATTTCAACATTGCCAAACTTAAACCAGCACATTCATCCCACCCCAGCATTCAATTTTTATTGTTACCTAAGAAGTGGGAAGGGGGGGAGGAGGGAATGATACAGGGAACAAGAAGTGTAAATGTCAAACACGCAAACTGTTGCAAACGTGTGACCTGCAGTTACACAGGCAAAAATCAAATCCCAAAGCCTAAAATAAATTGCTCTTCATAAGACACTAATGCCATTTCAGGAAAATAATCAGGACATCCATTTTTATGTATACTCTTTTTAGTCCACTTAATAACACAATCTATATGTACTCCTAAACAAATCAGCCCCCATTTGTTGAACTCATATTTCCATTGTAACACTGACTTAGACCGTTGCATTTAAGGTTTTGCCAACGCCTACTTTTTCAGTAGTTCATGCTTCCTACTAACTGTAACACACAGGATTTCACTAGATGCCACGTGAAGCTAACACCTGTCTTTCATGAATGCTATATTCTTGTGAGAGTAAGCACCTATGAAGTGCTACCTATAGAAAGCCCCCCCCCCGATACTACACATTAACTCATTTTTTCCTTTAGACTTCACTTATGATAAAAATTGGATTATTTCCAATATCAGGAAGAATTCCTGTTGCATAAGAGCAAACCATTTTGGCTATTTTATAAAATGTAGTTAACTGTGTTCACAAAGAAAGGCAATTGTGTCCTCAGTTTTACAGACAACATCTATTTTGTTATGGTCACCACCAAAATACCAACAAATGCAAACAACAGGTCTTTTTAGGACAACTTTGCTATGACCCTGCATTTAGCTAGCTTCTGGAGACCTACAAAGCCTATATCATCTTCAAAGGGAGTATGTCATCATTTTAAGCTTTAAGTTACTACATGGCCTTTTTGGTGCTGCAGCTACAGTGAAGTCCACCTTAAAGCCACCTGCTAAAATCAGTTATTTATGAGAAGCAGAAACAATGGAATTTTGAATCTGTTTGGCCAGATAATGAAACAACCCACAAAACCCCAACAACAAAAAAATCAATACTGTAAGCATTACTATCTCTGTGGTCCCAGTTAGAGAATTCTCCAAAACAAAAGCTCACCTTTTGTTTCCTTTTTCTAATAACTTGTTGCTCTTCTTCTTCTTCAATCAGTTTGAGTGCAAGCTCTTTATTGACTTTTGGAAGTTTCTAAAGAGAGGAAAGCAATTCATCAGTAAATTACTCTTTTACACATGCAAAAACCTACATGCTTTATGTTCGTTAAGTGTGATAAAGAGGTAATTCTTATTCATTCTTATAACTCTTGTTGAAAATCTCCTTGACTGGTTCCAAGTATTTCTAGGTCCTAGTAAAGCAACAGTGCTTGGAGAAAATGTAAGCAGAACTTCTGTATCTTTTTTTTTCTTGTAATGAATCACCTTTAGTACTTTAAAAGCAATTATTTCTCCTTCTATGTTGAGCAAATTCAATCTAGAAAGCTACTACTTATAAACACAATGCTATTTTTATATATCTCTTTCCAGAGTATTATGTTTTATTGGTTTAAGTCATTTAGTTTAATGACAGAAGTAGAAACTGCAAATTTCACCAGTGGATTATCTGCTCAAGTGGCAAATGTGATGAGAGCTGCTCTTTTACAGTTTGGTATCAGTCTTTCTCATCTGTGTGAATTGCATACATGGATATTTTACAGTTCCATTCAAAAAGTTCTATAAATTACTTTGCATCTCTGATGATAAACAGAATGAAATCCTGTCATTACATCTCTGAGATACACTGATGAATGCATTACTCTTTATGAACAGTTTTCCCAGAAGCATACTAACTGTCCACAGGATTTACCTTTAGTTGAACTCTCTGTGCACGTGTTTCTTCTATCTTCTGCCTTATTTTCTCCCTTCTGTATTCTTCATAGGCAAAGGGGTTGGCCATCATTTTTGCCTTTGAACAGGCAGAAGGAAGTAAAAAGAAAAAAACATTAATACAGGACACAGTCTTTTATTTGGAGAAAAAACCCAAACCAAACAAATAAAAAATACCCTCCAAAACCCCCACAAAAAACCCAACAAAAACCCAACACACATATTTTATTAAGAGTAAAAATTCACAAGGATCGGCCTTAGGTACCTTATGATAGAGTCTTATGTCCATGAAAAATCCATGCATATACGCTCTCAGCAATGATGATCCAATGAGATGAGCAAGGCCTGGGAAAAAAGTTACAGGAGATTTCAAAGAGCTTTCATATATAAAGAACTCCTGTTCCAAGCTAGCCACTTCACTTATCCAATTCAAGACAAACAAACACTGCCAACCCAACACATCAATTTTAACAGTCACATCCACTACATCAAGACTAAGTAAAACCGCAAGAAAAAAAAAAAAAATCAGTTTGGCCAGCAAGAAATTTGAGCTTCTTTAGAGCAACAAAATCCATTTTTCTTGTCATAATACATTTTACTGAGTACTTTTTAAAAATGCCCACATGCACTATGGTCCATAAAATTTTGCAAAGAAAAATTCAAGAGGATTTTTTTGAAAGTCCATAGATGTTTGACAATCACTTTTTTTAATGTGGTATAGAGATGTTTTTAATTAAAGAATTTTGCCTTGGGTCACTATCTTTGAAGAATCAACATGTTGAAAAAAAATACAGTACCACATCAGGTCATAAAACTGTCACCCTAGGCCCTAACCTAAGTACGAATGAAAATACTTAAAGAGTTCTCTGATTTTCCTTCCACGTATCTTCACAAAATTCCAAGACTGAGAAAAGGAAAAGCTTTTTATACCAAAATATCCTCTACAGACCCCCAAATCTTTAGTAATTAAGAATTAACAAACAACTTCTAAGACTAAATGGCAAAAAGTGAGAAACCACTGTGCATCTCAGAAAACAAAGTCAACTCTCAAAATTATTTTAACTGTTTCCAGGAAACAATCTTCCTGCATATTCCAAAATGAGAGTACTCCAGCTCATGGCTAGTAACATAAAGAAACCCTGCCATATGAAGTACAAAACATCCCCTAAGCTGGTTCTTCATTTGAAAGCTTGCATTTACGGGGGAATTGGACTAAGTTATAGTGAATTCAAAGTAGAGTAAGTATTCCTAGTCAAGTTTCTGTGTAGATAATACTACACTGCCTTACTCCCTTATGATTGGGATAGGGGTCTGCAGGCTACATTCAGACTATCTGCTCTAGAAGACGAATGCTGAAGATGCAGGGGCTTTGGATGACCTCCTCCTTGTACGGCCTCCTGCCAGGCCAAACTGAACTCCCATATACAGGGGTAAATTAAATAAAACCGGAGCAAAACATTGCAAACAAAACACAACGGGCAGAAAAAGGACTAACTACCTCAGAAGAAACATGCCAGTTCCTTGAAACTGTGTTTCTATTAGCCCTAGAATGATTTGTATTTTCTGGAAATTACTACATTCTGTTAGGGTAGCCTTTGGCAGGTGAATTTTTTTCCACTTTTGCTGTGAGTTCCAACATACTGTTTGAGCACCTCAAAACTATTTTGAAAATGACACCAACCTCTCTTCCTATGCCTTCCACTTAAGTGTCTGAAAGCAGACATGACAGATTCTTAGACACATTAAATCAGCAAATATCAGTCGTCTTCTTGGGATAAAAATCTGAGAAAAACAAATATCTACTGTTGCACTGGTTGGGAACCAAAGAACATAAAGCCATCAGTCTGGTATATTAATAACTAAGAGGGCTGGATGAAACTACTGCCAGTGAATTTCTAATAGTCCTTGTATGTCACATCCGAACTACAAAACTTACATGTGTAAACGATCAAATACTGAACAAAAAAGTTGGCTAAAGAGGAGATTCAATTGTTTTACCTAAATTTTCAAGGTCTTTTCTGGTAACAAATTTGTAATCATCATAAACTGTGCTCTCTGGATTCTCTTCCAGTTCTTCAGTCAAGTTGTCCAAGAAGGAACACCATTTTGGGGCAGGTCCTAAAACCTGTGGATAATATAGAAAGTTGTAACGCATGTTTTTAAAGAAAAACACTACAGTTAGGCTCTTAGCTACTGTGCTGTAATGGAGTAACACATGAATCCCTCTGAAATCAAACAGACCTTAACTTAAGAGCAAGAGCAGTTAGAGAACACAATGAAACCTATTGCTTGCATTACCAATAAGGAGTACTATAGATTATGTAAGCGTTATTTTACTTTAGGTCATTTATTTGAGACCAACAATCTAGAGGTTTCAAGTGGTCCCAGTCTGATTGATTAACTTATTAAAAGCTCAGAACCAACATTATAAATAAAATTATGAACTAATGGCACTAGATAGCAACTGTCGGATCTTGAATTCATGAGGTTCACTACGCAATCATGTTAAATCCTATTCTGCCCTACTCATTTTAATTAAAACCCAGACTGTATGAACAGATAATGGGAAACTTTAAAAAACTTGCATAGTTCCACCATGAGGCAAAGGATTTATTTGAACAATATTATGTTGCACTATCAATGTACTTTTCCATATAAGCTTCCTCCAATTTCCCAAGTTAACAATTAGCTTCCTTAATTTTTCCCTCCCGCTGTTCTGATTGAAATTCCTCTCTACCCTGATGCATGCAGCCATGCCCAACTGTTCCAGTATTTTTATTTTAGTAGGTGAGTTAGCTGAATGGAAAAATCCAACACTACATTTTTCTCTCTAGAGCAAATCAGCTGACATTTTATAACATAAAGTGGCCAGTTAATTCCTAGAGTGGGACCTTTAATAAGGCTTCTGATTTGTTTGCTAAAAATTCATGTCAAAAACTCCACAGTCAACCTAACCATAGGAATGGTTGTGATTCAAAACCAACATTTCAACATCCTATTTGATTATGGAAAGAAGTAGAAGTGATTTTATATATATAAAATATAGTTTGTTTTAACATGATTGTGTGGTAACAGTATGAGATAATGCTGTTCACTTAAAGGAAATGTGTTACTACTCATTGAAAATTCTTCTTCTGAAGACAAGTATACACAAAAAATTGTAAAACTGTATTCTAGACCATAATATTCCAATATTCTAGACTGTAACACTCCAGGCATTAACATTGTATTCTAGACCACTATTGTCTCTGTACCAAGTATGATTTATCTTCATAAGATTTCAGCCCTAGCTGAGAACCTTAACATGCCAAATGAAAAACTGCACTTTTTTTACAGTGCCGCACATCTTATTCCAATTAGTATGAGCTTCCAAGGGAAGACCTAAGTCCCTAACAGGAAAGACGTTGCCTACTTAATGAATTAACCAAACCCCCGTATCTGCTCCCGCGATATTCAGCTTAAACACTATGTAACATTCGAATTGATTTCTTGTCAACATTGTACATGTGTTTGTCTCCATCTAGGTTTTTAATTTTTCAGTTATTTCCTCCAAAACCACTTTTTCAAATCTAAGCACCAAACTTTTATATTAATAAGAAAGCAGCCTAGATATATTAAATGTAGCACTGGTTTTCATGCCATTCAAGAAATCAGTTATCAGTGCTTCATTACTAGATCATCAAAACATGACTGGGGTGGAAGAATCTTCTCTGAAGTTTACCCATATTTTTGGTTTGGGCAAAACCATTTGTCCTTCTTATAAAAAAGAAGTTGCTTACTAACTAAACAAAACTTCTCTTGTAATAAAATTTAAGTACAAGTTTCTCTGCTGAAGATTATTAGCAATGAGATTAGCGAATCCTTGAGTCGTGTCCGTTCCTTTAAATAAGAAGTTCCCCTTCATTCCACCTTGCTGACTCATCATGTAAAGATCTCTATCACTTCACTAAACCTTTTTCATCACGTCCATGTCTACACCACTATCTTCTCAAGCCTTACAAAGTGCATGTTACTCATTAGAACTCAGACCACTCCAACCAGTTAGGCTAATCCCCCGATGGGATCTTGACTGGTGTAAAGCTTTGAATGAATAACTGAAGCAGAAGCCTCATAAATAAGGGGAAACAGTATCTGCTCTTCAGCTGTAGCTCCATTCACTGTTCCAAGTATGCCTGTACTCAAAACCTGATATTGAGTCCTTTCACTGCATGTAATCTCTGCCATGAAACACAAAGCCAAAAGACGCAATTATTCATTATAATCCGTGGAGCGAGTTGGATGATCAGATCATAGAAAACAAGGTGACTAAAATGAGATAATTAACGGAAAAAAGTAATGGCAGAATACCAGGAAAAAATAGGAAGTCCAACTGTTATTGAAATTTCACATGTAAACTGTCAAAAAGGAAAACCCTACAGAGATGTTTGTGTAAGTTTTATTGCCTTGTTTCCCTCTATCCCACCCTACTGAAACTGCTTGCCTACCTATTCTAGGACACCTTAAGAGCTTTGCTTTGTATATTAAACCAGAACATTTTCTAAAGCTTAGGAAGAAATTTTAAAATAGAGAAGGCAAACCATACCAGTCACAATGACAAAAACATAAACAAGAAACGTCCTTCTCTTGACATAGTAATTCTTCACAGAATTTAATTGCTGCTGCATTTTAACTGCAGAGTTTAATGCTCCTCTGTCATCCACTGCCAAACAACAGACATCCCAGGATGGTGCCAAGAGCACTCCAAAATGGCAGGCTCTGCCACTCTGGTGCTCAGGTACAAATGCCACAGTTCAGAGGGCTGGTCTGCACCGGGCCACCAAGGCTGAGACGGATGGGTGGAACCTGTCCGTCCCCCCCAGGGCACGGGTCTCCACACAGCGGGCACGCAGCAGCATAGGTGAGAGCCCTCGGGACCCCTCGGAGCTCCCGCCACCCAGCACTGGCACCACCTCAGCTGGTGCACAAGTCCTTGCCAAAACTAGCAAAACAGCCACGAAGCTGTGGAGGTTGGGCAGGCTAATTAATATACTTGTCAATTTAGATTGGGAATGTACAATTCTACCATATCGAAGGCAGAAAAATGCATTGGAATTCACAGCAAGAATAAGAAAATGTTATTGAGGTAGGTAATCGCATGTGACCAAACTGACAGATCTCACCCAAAGGCTGGGTGGGCTGCGCCCTGCTCTCCTTCCCTTCCACCACTCTCCTCTTTAACTGACTGGAAATAGCACCCATGCGGTACCCAAAATGCAGTTATCCCCCATCATGTCCCACCACCATGTTGCAAGACAATGGCAGCTGGGTCACGCTGGGCAGGGGACGAGGAGCACGGTGCTCTCCTCCCTGCGGGTGAGCAGACTTCCCACAGGGGGCTTCCCACTGCAATACAAGGTAATGCAGAGATCTTGCCATTGCCTTTCGTGTCTAACACCAAGCCACAAGAAGTAAAGATGGGAACTTTATTATTAGCACCGTGCCATCTAATGCCAAATTTTTGTTAGTACACATTAGAATGTCTTTTTTTTTTTTTTAAACTTTAGAAACAGAAAACACAAAATATGATGAGTAATCTAGCACGCAACCGAGCAGATACAAGTGCAAGGCCAAACTGTTCAAGGAAAGGAAGAGAAAAATGTTGACAGAAAAATATTTTTTAAATATTGTAAAATAATGTCAAAACCCACAGTTCTTTGTATTTTGTTTTGCAGGATGTTTAACTTAATAGCCTTGTAGCACCAGAAATCTTACACGGTACAGCTCTGCAATGCTCCGTACTTAGGACCATGCCTAATTCCTGAGCACTTCTGTAGAAAATATCACCCTGTCATCGGTCTGTAATTCCCCTGAAATTAATGAACCCTAGGACAGAGTAGGTATTATTCCCAACCCACAACAGATGTTCCTTATCTTCAATCTGGAACACCAGACAGCACTTGTACACTTTTAAACGCTACTCAACAATTTGACATCCAGCTCCGCAGAGCCCTCAGAGCCACAGAAAGACTGGATCTAATCCTAACTAGTACTAAACATGCTCAAGAACTTAAAAGAATCCCAGGATGTGTAGAAGTTTCCGGAGTCAGATGTCATGAGATTTAAATTAAATGACTTTGCATGCACATACAGATGAGTATTGTTAAGCATCTGTTTGAAGGTTTCAGGGACCAATTCTACACAAGTGAACTGAACAGTTGCTCTTCTCTTCTCAGGGAGTTAAAATGGGTTCCAAAATCCATTTTTCATTATGTTAAAACAGTAAATCCCCGGAAGATTTCCTACAAGGCAGTGACAAACCATTCAGCTGTAAATAAGATGTCAAAATATATTAAGATTCAAGCAGCTGAAACTCCTCCTAACCTTCATTGATGTATTTTAGCAATCAAAAGCATGTAAGATGTTCACAGACAGCATAAATCAGATTTGAAAATAATTAACTAGAATTTGCAAAGTTTAAATTGCCCAAAATCTGCCTAGAAGACTAACTTAATGTACATGGACATCATTCAATGAAACATTTTGAGAGGCTTTGGAAAGCACAAGTATTAGCTGCCACAGCTGCACAAGACAGCAACATGAAGTTTCACAAAAACTTCAGTTTCACAAAAATTAACTGTAATGCTGTGTCATGCCATAGCAAAATAATAGTTAATAAGACTTAAGTATAAAAATATATCATAACTCTGTTCTTTCATAATGTATTTTAAAAGTAAAACTTTCTTTCAAAAAAATCTTCAAGTTGATTGTTGTGGTATCTTCTATGAATTTCAGTCAGACTGTAAGACCTTTACCAGGTAGCAAAAATGTATAAATACAGTTAAATCAGCCACTGCCATCCTATCTGAACAATGTCAACTACAACAAAAATAGTGTCTCTAAGGATTTCAACAGAGCTCTGGGTACAGTGTATTGTATAAGATTACTAGTCAGGATGAGAATTTTAATAACTGTAAGGCAAGATAGGAACTGGCTAACAAGAAAGTTTATGCTGAAAGGGGAATTACTGCACAGAAGCTCAAGCACTGTCCTATTAAATATTTTCATTAATGACTGCCACATACAGTAGGAAAACGCCAATAAAATCTGCTGATGACAAGCTCTCATAAAAGAAGGGTGAAAAATCTC